ATGATCAAATCTACATTTAGAAGTATTGTTTAACCCCAGCGAAAGCTACGAAACTTTCACTGCTTTATTTTGAAAAATGTATTTGCGATAAATTTAAAAACTCTAATTCTTTTTGTGAATCATTTTATAGATATCCCATCGTTAAAAGTTTACTTAACCTCAACCTTACTTGATTGTATGTGTGCAAATAAGATTGGCACCATTTTTAAGCTATAGTTTAAGTATATATTTTATTATTTTGCAAAACATATGTGTGCACTATTATTTACATTTGTGTTGAATCTGTTACTCACTAAAATTATCTCCCAAGTTTTTGCGTAGAGCCATTTTAATTTGCCATGCTCACAGCTTTTTAGGGGGACGCAGCTGCTTTAGCTCGCCTGCTTGTACCTTGTGACAGGCAGGCAGGCTTTGTTTCCTTTTTGTATGCTGGGTGTTCAGCATCATTTTTCATTATGTATTTTTTTACCGTATTGCAATCTTCGTTATGTGCACAACAACACGTACAATACATTTTATTGCTGATGTATGTGTCTGCAAATTAGACAGATTCCTGGTCATAATTTATGCTATTCTCTGCCAGTCGGTGCTGGCTGGCTGTATTCAATGGGCTGACAAAGTGGCTTTGACACGCCATAACTTAACCGCACAGGCTGCCACGTTCTGTCTCGAAACCCTTCATCAATGACAGTTTATCAGTACATCTGCACAAAGTCCCTCAAACGAAAAGGAAAAAGCTTCAACTTGACGCACCAATCGAAAAAAGCCGTTTGTCATTTCTGCCATGATAGCCTAAGCTCTTATGTAACATGCAAGTAATTAAAAATGTGAAAAGAAAAAGTCGCATGATATAAATGCAAAGCCATTTTCTGCCATGAAGAACACTTTTCCACATTTTCAACGAAATAAAATGTATATTAACTGTGAAAATAGAGCATATTTTATATTAGTGACAAATTATATATTTTATTGTGGCAAGTGACAATATTTCCCTGATGAAGTTAATACTTGGCAGCTGAATTAGAGTCAAAACGCTCCATTAAACCAATATTGCCCGCAAAATAAGTAGTAAGAGTCAGTCAAGTTCCAAAAGAAGAACTCGTGAAAAATACTATATTATGCAAGCCTTTGTAGACCGGGGCTCAACTCCTCACAACTAAATGAATTAATTTAAAATAAAATTCAGTTAGTGGGGAGGAGCTATAAAGGCGTAGAATATACCCATTTAGCCTTGGGTTCTTCCATTGGAAACAGAGCATAGTCTGTTTATATTATTGTGGTTGACACAACTTTTTTAGCTACAAATTTGTACAAATTTGATACTTTTCTTTGAGTCGCTTGCTTGAGAGAATAAGAGAAAAATAAATTACGTAGCGCAACTTTGAGTTTACTCCTATTTCAATTCTACTTTGTCGTCACGTGATCAAAATTTACATATAGACGATATTTTGTAATTTTTGTAATTTTGTTTTATTTTTGTGTACCCTGTACCCTTTTAAAAATCGATAAAGGGTATGAAGTTGTGCAAATTGACATTGCTACACGCCGAAGGAAGCATCTCCGTCACCAGAGAGGAAATATTTTCTTGATCAGCAGCAAAAGCAAAAGCCGAGTTGATGTAGCCAATTTTGTCTGTTTGACTGACTGAACGCGCCGACATCAGTGACTCGAAGAGTTAGAGACTCAGATCAAGTCAATTAATATTAATATTATCAATAGCAGTAGCGAAATAATTTTAACTATGAAACAATGCAAAATGAGAATTGAGTGACGTCATATAGATATATATTTTCTACGAGTACGAATAATGATAGATGATGACTTGTGTACAGATTATCTCCTAGTCGACCCCTCTCGACTGGAGCACTCTTGCTTGTTTTGTATTTGAGTACGTGCTGGAGCCTAAAACAAACAAGCTTCAACAATGGCGGCATTGTTTGTCCAACTCAGATGCCACGTATTTGTATGTATGTATATATATATATATATATATATATATATATATATATATATATGTGTGTGTGTGTGTGTGTGTGTGTGTGCGTTCGCTCGTGTTCATGTGTGAACGACCTTATGCCCTGCATTTTATAATTGTAAATGGCAAAGTAAGGCAGAAATATTGTATGCAAAAGCAAGTCAGATCATCCATCTTGCAGCTAGCTTTAAATGTAAATCCTACAAGATGAGCAGATTGCCGGCAGTCGGCGCCAACCAACAGCCGACTAGCATAAAACTAATCATAAGCCCTGTCACAGCAACACAATAGCAGTCGCCCAACCACAATGCCACATGCCGAGGCTCAGGCGCAGCTGTCAGCACGACCATAACAGCTCCCAGAAACCCTTCAACTTTTATATAACAACGATAAGAGGGCGCCGGCTGCTACTACGCTCTAATCGTAATCGTCAGTGCCTTGTCCTTATGTGTGTATTTTGCCTGCTTCTAATATGTAAACAACACTTTCTATGCCCTTGCGAGAGATATGATAATTTAGTGCGTACATGTACAATCGTTATTTTATTTATTTAATCTCGACTAACATCAGTCGCAACAGACAAAAAATAAATCCAACTAAGTTAAATTCAAAATACAACTTAATATTTAAATTTAAAAAAAGAAAACATTTATAAGATTTCTGTGGGTATTTCAAAATTGCAAACAACATTTTTTAAGCACTTGCGAAAGATATGATAATTTAGTGAGTATATTTAAAATATTTATTTTATTTATTCAATATCGACCAATATCACAGAAAGATAAAAAAAAACATAACAAAACAAAGTAAAATAAATTAAATTGAATTAAATATAAAATTTAATATTTATGCATTTCAAATAAAAACTTTTAAAAATCAAAAGATTTTATAGGGTTCTTGGCGGATTTTTAAAATTGATCTAAAATTTGTTTTCATGGGATAACTCCGAAACATGATATGATAATTTTGTGACTATTTTGTTTATTTAATGTACATGGTCTGATACAAAATTGTTAGGATAAAAGATATTATGTTTTCAAAACATAACATTTTTAAGCTTATATATGAAAGGGTGTAATTTCTTCGACTTGCCAAGGAATCCTTTTGTTTTTTGTTTTACTTCACAATACTTTAATTTTACTTTTTGGAGCATCACCTTACATTCCTTGCCACCCATCAGTTTAAGGCTAGCTTAAATTATGTTGCTTATTAATTAGCCACTTTGCAGTAAATGTCGAAATGAATGGCAACTATCAAGAACAAACTGCAAGGCTTTAAATAAGGGACAGAATGTATAAGGCTATAAGTAAAAGCATTGTATAGTACGTGGGTTAAGGAAACGAGCCCTTTTAAAATGCAGTCATTAATCTTTAGACCCCCTCGAATAACAATCGGGCTAATAACAACATTTTACGATATACTCAGAGAAAAAAGGAAATTGTTAAAAAGGATTTCATTAAGTTGTGGTAAAGTACGTAAAGGGCAGGACCCGGCATCTGTGACCTTATAAAATATATATATTCTATACATATAAATATATATATTCATACTAAAACTAGTTTTTTATGTACATATATGATATTGTATGAGTAATAATCAAATTTAATATTTTATCTTATATGTAAGTATATTTTTTAATTTGGCTTATTTTCAATAAGCTTAAGTGTAGGCTTTCATCTACTACACTTGCCACTGTGCATTAGTTTGAGGCAATTTGCAGGCAGCTGTGTGTGGCAAATAGCTGTTAAATATTTAATTATTACCAAAGCAAACAAACGGACAATCCCTTAAGTGGCTGGGATTCTGCTGGTGCCATTCTGACTAGACACCCGGGAGAGTCACGAGCACACATTGCGAGTAAATTTATGGGTAAATTGTGCACACAGTCCCAAGCACACTCACACACTAAAATACGCACACACACACATCTACCACAGATATACATTACGGCAATCCGGCAAGATATCACTTACTTCCACACAAGACCGCAAAGGATAAGGTATAAATAATTTGCATAAAATATATATATTTCCAAATAGCATATTCTATGTGTAAGCAGAAAGGCTTTGAAGTAATTATCTATTAATGATTACTACTAATTGGTAATAATAATTACTAACGCTAATTTGCTTTACATTATTCATTTTTATTTAATTTACTTCTTGATTCTTGATTCTAGTTTGTGTTTTCAATTTCCCAAATACGTTTTTCCTAAAACCTTATCTTTTCCACAAGCTAGTTGGTTTGTAACGTAAACGTGTAAATAAATGTCGGTCTGCTGGTGTAAACACGTCAATCTCAATGACTTGAAGAGCATAAGCATATATAAATGGAACACAAATTTGCGTATGATATTTGCAAATCACATTTATTAATTTCTTTTATAATTACACACATCAATGCAAGAGTCTTTTTCGTTTGCCACACAGACTAAAAGGTACATATGTATTCTTAGATATTTATTTATATATATATATATATATATGTGTCCATGACCATGAGACAATGGCCTTCTCTGATTTAACATCTCTGACATGTCGTTTCTATGCGTAATGAAGATGCCTCGAAATAATATTAAACAATGGCAGGCTTCTTGATGCGACAATAATCTTATCTACTAGCTTAACTTAAAAATATTAAATTAAAAAATAAGTTCACAATTAATAAGTAATACAAGTGAGATCGTGGGAGGTGAGTGTTGCTAGGCTCGTGCTTCGAAAATGATTGTCATTAATTTTAATATAAATAAAACCTTTAAAATGTGATGAATCTGGCTCTAAGACTGCGTGAGAAAAGGCTCGGAGCTGAATTTCTAAGGTGGTTCATGGACGCGAGAATGGATGCCAGCAATTTATCCTAATCTATCTATCTAACCTCAAAGTTGTTGCAAATATACATGTATATGTTGTATGGATTTGCACAGTGATGTATTTTTAGCAATTTGCCAGATCGAGAATGGTATGCAAACTCGGAATGATAAAATGAACTTGGCAAGATTTCAGCTAACTGCTATAAGAAAACTTACCACGCAGAATTTCTCGCTCTTCTTGGTACATTCCTTCAGATAGAGATGCTCAATCTCCTTGGAGTAGTTCGTACAGGGAGTTATGGATCCCACGCCCTCGTTGTACTGTCCGCACATGTGGCACTTGAGACCATCGACCAGTCCAAAGCTGCTGCTGCAAAACAAAATGGCGGCCAACAAGAGAACCACCCATTGCGGACCAGGAACTGCAGATGCTGCCGTCCGGCTGGCCTGAAAGGCCTCCATAGTTGATGCGACCTTGGCAACAGATACGGCTTTCGTTGTCATTGCTTTTTGGTTAGCGTGCGACATTTTCATATGAGCTGCAACCTTTGACACGGACACCAGATGCACACGGCAAAAAACACGCCCAATCACGAAAATTGCAATTTTGCTATTTTCACTCGTTTTGTTGTATTTTTTATTTATTTTTTGTTTGTTTTTGTTTTTGTTTTGTTTGGTAGAGGGTCCTTTGTTGTCTTGTCGCCTATCTTGTTTTTAGTTTTAGCTTTTAGTTCTTTGATTTTATGTTTTTACAAAGTTTATTTTCAACTTTTTTTTGGTTAGTGTTTATGACCTTTAAGTAAAATGGTTTATAATCTGTGTTGAATACAGTACTTAAACCAGCTAATAAACAACATAGCTAAGTTTTACTATTTTACTAATTTCGACATTTTAATTGAAAGGCTATTACTGCCACCCAAATGCTCGAAATGTATAAAAATACAGTTCATAACAATTTAATTCCAGTCTCTTTCGCAATTTCATTTATCATCAAATTTGCTAAAAGGTCAGTTCAAACAGTCCCAAAAAAGATTTATTTTTCATATATATTACATAATAAAATAATAGACTCTCGGTGAAATATGTACGCGTAAGTCCCAAAACTCATTTCTATATTCTAATTCTAATTTAATTTTGTTTGTAATTATGTATGTCATTATCCAGATCGGATAATTGCATATAATCGATTTGCAAATTATATACTTAAATGCATAGCATTCTTTCGTCATTCATTTATTTCTTCATCACCCCAAAATCTTATAAATATTTCTTATTGCTTAGCAGCAAAACGAATGAATTAGTTCTTTAGATTTTTGAAGGGACAGATTAAGGTAAAAAAAAGACCAGAAGCAACTATAATTCACAATATATATTTTTGCTCTACTTTTTAATAAAAATCAAAAGCAATTGGAAATTGCTAATTGAGGAGCTATAATTGTAATAATAAGTAATGTGTAATTAGAGACTTTAAGTTTAGGTATGCAAATGATGTTTATACAAGAAAAGACATGTTTATACATGAAAAGAAAATTAAAAACTTAACAAGAATCAAGTTGCCTTTCTGCATTTTTAATTGCAGATTATAAACGTTTTTAACCAAATTTGTAGAGCATATTTTGAAGATTTTCTGCACATGTGAATATCCGCTCTGGTAATCAAAGTACCCATAGATAAATGAATAAAAAATAACAAAACTATTATATAAAAAAAAAACACAAATATAACCAAGATTAATTACACCAAAAGCATAATATATAACATTTTCTAGAGTCTTTTGCATATACAAATATATTGTTATATTTTTGTACAACATTTCGTAATACTTCTTTACAGCCTGCAGCATATAAACCACACATTTTTTAAATCAAATAGTTGCACTTCAAACATAGATCGTTAACTATTTCCACAAAATTGAACTCAATTTAAATGCCATAATTCCCATTTGCGAACTGCAGCACAAACACAAAAAACCCTGAGCCTATTTTATGTGTGCATTTGCAGCAGACTTTTGGGCTTTTTGGATGCTTTTTTTTGTTGTGTCGACTAAAGCGAAAGTGGGGCAGGTGGCTGCTAAAATTTGTGCTTGCAGCTTGCCCAAAAATGTTATAATGGCTACACTTTTTTCAATTTCAACTGCAGACATTTGCTGCTGCTGCTGCTGCTGATGATGCTGCTGCTGCTGCTGCTGCTTAGACAGCCAATTGACAAATTATTTGTAATTAAACGAACGAATTTCCATGGAGGGCAATTGTTGGCCTCGCTTATTCAATGCTCAACATCAAAGAACATTATCATAATTGACACAGGTGCAAATTAGCGGCAACTTGAAGCACAAATGAAGCACTCATTCTCGTCGCTCAGTGTCTGCATATAAATGTTAGTGTTAGCTAAAAAATAATCTCAACTCTTTGTTTTGCCTCAAACGGAGACCACTTTGAACTGGAGCCTACTTTGAACTTGCGCCAGCAGTTTTTGGCGTCCGCTTAAAGCGTGCGTCGCGTTTGAACAGAAATCGTCGACTGGCCAACGACGAACAAAGTGCGCATCGAACCCGCCTCCTCTCCCAGTACTTATGTGCATCGGTGCATCGATGTCGCATATCAATATTGTGTGTCCCATTTAATGATCGCAAAATTGATTGAATGCAGACACTGGCTTAAAATTGAACAACAAAAATGTAATTTAATTTTAAATCATTAACCCCAAACTCATTTCCGTTGCTAATATCGATTTTGTGTCAACAGCGTACCAGTATTTTGTCATAAATAAAAAGAATGTATAAATGTAGTTTGGCTAAGTTCGAACATTATTATCGGTTAAAAATAAACAATAAGCAATAATAAAAGAAATAGCTATATTGTCTTATATTGTGGAAATGTTGCTGACACTGAACATGGCTTTGTCAACGGTAACATGTATAAGTTGGTATGTTAAAGAGCAGTTGCTTAACAGAGAGACTTCGGCTCTTTTTCAACATGTCGCACGCTGTGCGTCGAACATTGTTGCCTTGTTGAAATGCTATGCATGAAAGCGTGGTCAAAGAGTTTGCTATAAAAAGTACCACACGGCATGTCATTGATTTTGTACAGCAACCAAACGGGTTCGAGTCTTGGCTTACAGTTTGAAGAACTTTACAAAAAATATCATTAAATGGAATCTAATTTGTCTGATTTTTAGCTGTTGTCAGCAAATGTAGAAGAGGATAACTTATGATATCCTCCCTGGAATCCTAGCCCCGTCACACGCCTTCTCCAATCAAGTCATAAAATAGTAAATTATTAGATTACTGACTTTTTGAAAACTAGATTTTCCCTGTCTTTTGCCGGCTATGATTTTGATACTTATCTGTGGATCTATCACAATAATAATTAATAATAATAAAACGAAGTGCTACATGATTAAGTTATCTGCAAAATGAAAGAAAAAAAATGCAAAATTTATGGCTGAGATTTGAAGAACATCATTTGCTCGGTTCACAATTATTTTTAGTATTACATTGAATATTTATTGGTCACTCGAAGCTCGAAGCGATAACGTCTTTGAACCGAGGATTAAGTCGAGAAGCAATAAATCGAGAATAACCGATAAATAGTAATCAAAGTTCATGGGTTTTTATTTGTCGATCTAAGCCAGTATTATTTGGTTCCGTTGAATCCAATCGATGTAGTTGGCCACCTTGCAGTAGACACCCGGAAAAGGTGCCACAGCACACGGCTTGATGCTCCATGACACGATGCCCACCTGTTTGCCATCTTCGATTAGGGGACCGCCGGAATCGCCGCTGCATTGTCCCTTGCCACCCTCGTCGACGCCACCGCAGATGTGGTAGCGTGGATCTGTGGAGCCCTTGTGGCGCAACACGCACTCATCATCCGAATAGACCTTCAGCTGCACCTGCTGCAAGTTCTTCTGAACCTGGCCGCCAGTCTAAGCATAGCAACACAATTATAAGAATAAATCCAACATTTACTATTTAAATCATTCAACTCACCTTGTCGAGGCCCCAGCCAACGAGGGTTCCCGCACCGCCCTTCGCTATCTGTGGCGTGGCATAGTTTAGAGGTGGCAGTTGCACGGGCGCCACAGTCACGTAGTCGAAGTTAAATGGTTCTGCCACCTGCAGCAGAGAAATATCATTGGCGTAGTTCCTGCTCGGATCGTAGAGTTCGTGTTGAATGATCCGCTTGACGGCAACCACGTTGGGTCCACTTGCCGCAATACTGGTCGTACCATACTGCACGGACAATTGAGCAGCAGTCCGTCCGGCTGTACAATGAGCCGCGGTCATCGCAAACTGCTTCGCAATGATCGATCCGCCGCACGAGTGCGAGCCAGTGGGACCTCGCAACGAGATCTGCAATATTCATGTCCTTATTTCCATTAATATATAATCGCAATAATTTGGGTATATATATACCCACCACAAAGGGATAGTCCTCTACGACGGCGTCTGTGCCGTTGACCACCCGGCCTCCGAGGGGAGGTGCAGCATAGGCGCTGCCCCAGGCAACAGCCAGCAGCAGGAGGAGCGTTGTCGAAAGCATATTCTCTGTTCGAATCACGCGAAGAGACTTTTGACGCCAATCGCGGCGAAGCACGCCTTTTATAGGAGGAGACATCGATGCGATAGGCCACATATTTATGGTCGGCGATAAGTGAGTTATAAATATTGAATTGAATATTGAAAGAACTTGATACAACTGTCTCAGATTTACAATTAATCAGGGAATTGCGTTCGAGTTTTATGGCCCCTGATTGACATATTGGGTTTTTACACTATTGCATTTGTTGCTTCTATTCAATAATTGAATATTTAGATAACAAAATAGACTTTTGATGACAGCAGCAGCAACAAACCTTATTATTATAATAATGTGGAAATAATAACTCGGCATCATTATTCGAAAAGCTGAAAGTGCAATGAAGATTGAAAAAACATTTGTATATTATCTATGATCATAAGTTTTAATTCATATTTAACGTAGACTTTTGTCTAAACCATCTTAATTAAGGTAATCACAATGCATAAAAATAAATAAATGTGTGGCCCGATGTGCCAGCCATATGGTGATATTATTTCTGGAATGTAGAACTGTGTTTGAACATTGCTTAACATTAGTAAATAAGGGTATATAATTAATTTAGCAAAAGAGAGCACCGAACAGTTTAAACACAAATATTTAAAAGGGTTATAGAAATTTGCAGTCTCTTCTTTGGATTAGAGAATGGGAGTCAAGCATGTTAGACACACAAGATAGATTAGCCGGACAAGATGGTTGAGTAGAACACATTACGCCAGCCACCACATTATATTCTAGACTGGACCACATTTGTAGCTAAATAAACGATACATTACAGATAACTAAGCAACTTCTACCAAGCTATGTTCTAGAAATGATTAACTTTCTACTGTATACTGCAGCTGCGTACCGTGGACATCTTTTGCTCCTCCTCATCCAAATTTTTAGCGCTTAAAATACTCTTGATACTCTCAGCCTCCTTGATCCAGAAATCCAGCTGAAACCATATGCGAATTGATTAATCAGAGTACATTTTTATCCAACACTTTACTCACCTGTTGCAGCAGCAGATTGCGACGCTCGCCCTTCGGTTCATTGTTCACAAACGGCACCAGAATACCCAGCGCAGAGGTATATGCCTCCAAGGCAGCGTCCAGTTTTCGCTCGTACAGATACAGCTCGCCTTTGCGCCCGATTTCCAGACCAGTCTTCAGAGACGGACTCGAATTCGATAGAAGAACTATAAAACATTAATCGTAGATAGATCGATTCAAATATGTAATAATAATAGCGAAATATAAATGGTGTCTACTCAATAATCAATCCCTTTTTTATAGATATATATATATATATATAGATATACCTATTTACTTAGACGAACATTCCGATCTTCTGATACAAATAAAATAATAGATAATAATAAATATAATAATCAATATTAAGACACGGAATATGCTTTCATTCCGAATTTATAAACGGTGGTTCTTAAAGTCTTTTATCGACAACCGATAAACGGTGAGGCTAATCGCTCAAATGATATACGCTTGATTATTATTATTATATACTAGACAGACTGACTTGGATGGATCGACTTGGCTGCTTTTGCTGACCAAGAATATCCTTCCTGCTGGACAAGTTCAGCCCCAAATAGCCTCATTAGAAGAGTTCGTTACTAAGTTCTAGTTAATTTGAGTGCATATAAATATCGTACAAAGCTGTTTATAGCGCGCATCCGGCTCAAGCATTTCAATCATGCGCGATCTGCTTGACTGATTGGAGTCAGCAGTTGGAGTTGTTGCAGCCTTGGCTTTTTCTTCATGCTGATCCTGCTGCTGCTGCTGCTGTTGCTGCTGTTGACGTTGTGCAAGCATTTTGTACTCATCCTCGATGAGAACATTTTTGATCTCTTCTGCGCGCTTCATGTAGGCGAGCGCACGATTGCGCAACTCCTGCCGTCGGCTGGCATCCGATTCCTCGGTGATGAGCGGCACAAAATATTGCAATGCACTGCAGTACAAATAGTAAGCCTCCTTATAATCACGTTTCTCATCATACTCCACTGCCCTGGTGACCAGATCAACGGCCTTCTTCAGTGTCTGTTCCGAGGGAAACGTTTTCAGATCCAAGAACGGATGCTCGAAGAAATCAGCGAACGAGATGCGTTCCGCCGGCTCGTGAGCCAATAAGCGGCGCAACAAATCGTGGCACTCATTGCTGATCCGTGCATGCGGTGGCAGCACAATGGGCTCCGCTTTGCGTATCCGCATCAGCAGCTCCTCGATGGTCCGCGACGAATATGGCGCCTTGCCGAACAGGCATTCATAGAGAATGACGCCAACGCTCCAGAGATCGGCCTTGGCATCGTACTGATGCTTTCGCACTATCTCCGGTGCCATGTAGAGCGGTGATCCCTTCAGCTGTTGGTTTATTTCGCCCAATTTCAGGTGTTGCGCAAAACTGCAAGAAGAAGTACGCATCTCATTAGAGATATCCGCCTGCTTCTTCTCGAGAAACTTACCCAAAATCTGCAACTTTGAGAGTTACATGATTGGCGTGGCGCGTTAACAATAGATTCTGCGGCTTGAGATCAAAGTGAGAGATGTCATTGGATCGCATATATTGAACGGCAGCGGTTAACTGGCGTAGAAAATAACGGCATGTTGACTCCGGCAGCGCTTTTTTGGTGCGTATAAATGCAGATAAATTGCCAGCATTGCAGTACTCCAACACAATGTAGATGTTCCTTGAAAGACAGCGAAATAACCAATTAGTCGTTTAGCACATTTAAATATTTTTCAATTACAACTGCCAATGGGCAATCGGAATTAATCGCCGTTTTACTCAGATGCAACTTTATTTGCGCTTTTGAAGCTATACTCTGAAAAAATGACGTTGATTTTTTTTTTTAGCTTAATTTAGCTTAAGAGAATCGCCGTAAAATCGTCAGGTTTTGTTCAAGTTAAATATGAATGAATTTATAAATGTTTAAATATATGAAATGTTAAAATATGTAGTAATGTTATCAATAATAAATCTAATTTTGGAGTTTCTTTGCTTGTGATCAGAATTGCAGAAAAGCAAAAACTCTGATTTTTAGAAATGTATTTTCTGAATATAAAGGTGAGTTATCCTAGGCATCAAGAGTATGGAGAATTCATATCATATCATTTTTACGCAAATATATATATTTAGATTTTTTGAATAGATTTTTTTTATATTTAGATCAAGTGACTTCAACAATTTTTAAAATATTAAAATCCAAAAAATATGCATTACATGGAGAGCCCAGAAAGTTTTTTGTCAACTATTTTTAATGATTTTGCCGATCGCATTGGAAATGGGCGTTTACATTTTGAGTAGCTTTTCGTCTATGAAACTTGATAAGCATATTCTGTTATTTACCATTTCTTATCATTTTATATCTCAATTGTTTTATTATCACCACTAGTGGGAAATAGTTTTGGATTTTCAAAGGTTTAATGTCTAAACTCCGTAGATTCCCGATACTTTAACCCATTGCCGGCAATTGGACCTGCTTGAGCACAACACTTTAAGCATATTCAAATAAAAATAGAATGAAAGTGTTCACAATCTTTTTGCGCTTTTCGAGGCAATTCGACAAAGTATAGTTTACGGATTATTCTCTGCAAATTTTACGTAGCTTGAAAAAAATCAGATGATTTGATTTGCTTACTCAAAAGATTCTTTTAAATACCGTAGAGTTGTATTTAAATAAAAAGTATTAAAGTACACTAGATGAGTTTAAAATATTTAAACTCAAAAGAGTACAATTAAAATGATTTTATTTAAATATTTTTCAATTTATTTATATTGTTTTCAATATAACTAAACATAGTTTTTCCAAGTTTTTAGATTTGGCCCTCAATGGGTAAATACACATTTATAAGATTGTGTTTATTGCTTTCGATAAGTGATTTATTGATGTGACGCAACTTTTGCTGTTTTATGTACATTTCAATTTCAACTATCAGCAAAGCGGATAAAATTTAAATTTAAAAAGCACTACAACCTTTACAAAACATGAGAAATAAATACACAACTAATTTGTATACAAAAGGATTCATTAATATTTCAGGTTTAGGTTTTAATTGAAATTTGAGTTTCCCCTTACCGGTTAGACTGGGAAATAATCACCAGTGGGAATAAACTATTTTATTAACTTATCTAAAGGAGACATAAGCGTTTTAGTACAGTAATAAAGGTTGTCTTCAAAATATATTTCTTTTCAAGACAAATTTCTGTAACTCCTAACCTCCGAGCAAATAATAATAGGTGTGAGTAATAAATAAAGTAAAACATATAAAATATAAATATTATAATTATATAGTAATAATCATATTTCCCCTTAGAATATGCTGTATACTTTGCAGCATAAATTGGGAGTGAAATACTCACTTGTCATCCCAAAAGAAATCCTGAAGCGTCACAATGTATTTATGCTTGAGATCACGAAGCAGTCGAATTTCCGTAATTAGATTGTCGCGCGAGCTTTGCGACAACGTGGACATTTCCACGTACTTGATGGCATGATAGGTGCGCTGCTTCTACACGAATGCAGATAATGATACAATTTAATTGCGATTTGAGAACTCATTCAAAGTAAAAATTAATATGGCTCACTTTATGGCGCGCCTTGTAGACAGTTGCATAGCTGCCAACGCCGAGTTTCTCCAGTATCTCATAGTCCGTTATTCGCGGTAGTGACATATCTGCAAAACTAATAAGCTCATTAATATAAAAAGATGAAGTTGTCGAGATTTTCTGGCATTTGCGTTAGAATTGAAATTTTGGAAAAACCATAACAATGCCATTTGACAGTCACAACGAATATTGACACACAGCTGATGAGAATGTATATCGATAGGCATGCAATCAATACACCTGTTGCTCAACAGTTGTGCCACAGTGGAGTGCATCAAAGCAACGCTAAAGAGGAAATGGGCAACACTTTTCTGATTCAGTGAATTTGTTGTTGATTTTGTGTAGCAACGAAATATTTAATATTTGTGTACGTAAATAAATGAACAAAACAACTAAAAAGTGCATACAAATAAATGGAGTGAAACCCCTTCACACTGAACCCATACAATAATAACGCTGTTCAACTACGTGCCATAAAATTGATCACATTTAAGCTGGGCTTCAGCTTTGACTTAGCTTGACACACCCAAAATAACAAATTAAGCAGACACGCCCGTAAATCAATTTTGTTTACTTATCAAAAAGTTAATGAATTCTTCTAATAGAGCACTTTATGTTCACAGCTAAGCGAGTGCCTGTAGCAAATCCTGCAATATTCCGCATCGTGTGACGTCATTGCAAAGGCTTCAACATGAATTACGGCCGGAAAACGCCCTCAACTTATCGGTCAAACCCATCGGTTTATTCCCATGCGACGGGCAGGTAATGTAAAATGTATTTATATAGATATATGTACATACATGTATCCTTGTTTATCCTTGATTCAGATCATCGACAAATCTACATTCGAAAATGTCACGCTCAACACGCTCCGTGCGCATTCCCTGGTACCAGCGGCCCCTGCTGAAGAACAATCAGTACATCGATATACAAAAAGGAGCCATGTTAATTGGACTCTTCGCTGTCGTAAGATTCTTTTCTTAACTTGTAACCGAACAGTACAAAAGCAAGTACAGTTATAACCTTGTCATAATTATAGCTAAACCCGACCTAGTTCAGATTTGGGTGTTAGCAATCGAATTGTTTGTATTTTTAGTAAATAATAGGTATTAAAAGGAATTACACTGATTTATAATAAATATAAATTAATATTTATTATATTCCTTAAAATCCGATTTCAATTTCATTTCAAACACTAAAGCTAGAATAGAATATTTTCTATAAAACCCGATTTTCATTTCAAACAGTAAAGCATTTAAATCAAGACGAAGAATCTAATATTATTGATTTACTTGTTTCTAATATATTTATTATATGCTTATTTTTATTACTTATTTATTATTAAATGAATCCAAAGCTTCTAAAGGAACAAAGATCAACTACATCTGTGCATAAATATTTTTTGTTTATAATTAAAATGTTTTAATAATGTTTGTGTAATAACTTAGATATCTGCTATATTGCATGTATGTAATGTTAACAAGACACTGCTTTTTTGTGTTAATAATATATATTGAAATATGTTGGTGGATTTTGGAAAGGCTTGTAGTGGAGACATATGTATAAATTAAAGCTTTCTTATTTTCATATTATTTTGTATCTTTGCAGTTTCTTTCACTTTTCACCATTGGCACCACCATATTTGATATATACTGCTATGCGATGGCTGCCCCAGGCTCCACACATTATGGCTACTATATCATATCGTACGAGTTTGTTTATGTTGGCAACAAGCACGGTATTTATAAATACATACATTTCATAGACTAAATTTGACTCATATTATTTGCAGTGCGCAACATGTTGATCGTGTTTGCCTTATTCTCACTAATTATGGCAATTATCAACTTTGTAACTAGCGTTTTGCTGTGCGTAGCTCTGCGCAAGGTAAGCTAAGTTCCTATGCTATATATGAAATTTACTGAGTTCATTATACTTTCTACAGGAATACGAAAGGAAAGTTATGCCCTGGCTGTGGACCTTTGCCATTTTCACCGTTTGGCGTGCCTTAGCCCTCATCTTCTTTGCCATTGTTAATGATTTGTACTTTGCTTACAATATTATAATGGTACTGTTGTGGAGCATCTTTTGTTTGTTCTCCATCTATGGTTGGGCCGTCGTATATTCGCTATTCCTCGAGCTGGTGGATCTCACAAAGCTTGAGGATCTAGCGCATTTGCGCGTAAGTCTCTATCGTGGTTTCAAAAAAGAAAATTATAAAAATAAACTTTCATTTGACTGTTTCCCTCTCAGATGGGTACCATGGCCTCACTACACGCATCCACTGCCAACTCATTGGCCGGCTCGCGACCCACAACACCCCACAGCACTGTGTCCACAATGCCAGTAGGCTAAAAAATCTGGTTGCGGTCACAATACGACCAAATATATATACATATCTATATATATATGCATATATACTCCGTCCGTTGGAAGTTTACACAAGGCAAACCGAAAGCTCCTTATATGTACACAACAAATTTCCACTAGCTTAGTGCCTTAAATAATGTCTAGAACATATCAAAAACAAAGCTGCAATTTTTATACATGAATCTGCATTGTATTTAAGTCTCATTCCGTCCACTTAAACTGATTTTACTTTATTAAGTATGTTCATTCACACAAATGTTGTATTGATGAAATCTCTGTATGTTTGTTGACAAATCATATTTTTTATGTGCAACCACCGTCATTTGTAATATTAAATGCAAATTAATATATTGCAATCATAAAACCATAACTAAAGTAATTTTATCATTTTTCGGTCGTCAAAGTTAATAATAAACTTTAACAATGAACTCAGACCGGATTCACCTCGCCGACATCTAAATTTCTGTATAAATTACAAAACCAAACATGTTTAGTGAATTTGGTTCGGTATCAGGGCATCTGATATAGTGATCTGATCCGTTCGGGTCTAATATACGAATATCAAGAAAGCTTCAAAATTGAGTGACTAGTTACCATAGAATCATCTAGACGACTCGACTAGTGATGCTGGTGTGGAAAAGAATATATGTGGAAGAGAATATATGGTATTATCAGAAATTAAATGTAAAAACCAACATATCGATAATATTATCGACAGTTTTCTTAGCCCACAACAATCGATTTTGCATTCGATTTGCATTATTTCAAGTTAAAATTCGATTCTCCAGTTAATTCAACTTAATTCATAGTATTACACAATGTTATTATAATGATAAAGTATTGAAATTTTTGGTTTTTTTTTTATTAATTTACAGATATTTCTTTTTAGGCAGTCTTGAAACTACCACCAAGACGCATATGAGATCATGAGGCAGCCACTCAATTATAGTTAATTTATATTTCTGAATCCAACTTTTTTCAACACTAAGGTATTATCCTGCTAGAAATTGTCCGAAAATGCAGTTGATGTCGGGAAACGCTTTCTCAAGCAAACTTTATACTCAGTTGCACTCTTTGTGGCACCTAAATTGTCTTGGGAATGTTCCTAAGTTTGAGATGATACACCATACAATAAAACCTTCTCATGGCTTTGAGAATAAAAATTTGATTCAGATCCATTCGAATTGCAAAATCCAAATTCATATCACACTCTCCGATTTTTTCCGCTATCTTTCGATATGGAAAATTACACTTTTTGTAAACTACAAAATACTAACTTCAGCATGTGACTGAATAAATCACAGCTGTCTGCAATAAGAACTTGACAAAAGCATCGCTTGTTGCTTACAATAATAATATTGAATATTATAAAATTATATTCACTATTCAAACACATTATTTAAATTTTTTTTATATATTAGAAGTGAACAAAATTTCCTTAGTAATAATTATTATTCCTTAGTAAGAATTATTATTCTTTGGTAATAATTAGAATTCTTAGTAATTCACCTCAGCAAAAATATGCATACCTGACGTATTCAAAAAAATCTATTTGAATTTTGATCAGAAAACTCCACCTTCAACAATAATAGTCTTATACCACTAAGCAGTGAACATATTGTATGCCTAGTGCTCATACTTAAGTGGCGTCAGCAAAAAAGAAAAGAAAAAACACAAACAAAAAACAAAGAAACAGATGTTTTTATTTCCTTGGTTTCTTTTAGGTTTTCTTATTTTGCTGATGTTCACAGTTATATAAGTTTGCTCACTTTACAAGCAGTATCAGTAATCAGCGATTTGAAATTTAGCCAAATATTTCTGCTAATTTGTCAAAACGATTTATCGAACATATTTTCGATTTGCACTGTAAAATGCAAACTTTCACTGCTAAATGCAGCCATATGTTCTGTTATAGATCACACGCAGCTAATTTGAATGGTAATGTTAGAAAACACACACACAAAACATTTCTTTATTGTTCTTGGTTCATAGCAATCTATGTTCAATCTCTTTACCTCCTATTCTCGCTTTTGCTTGTCTATTTCGGTTCCTGTTTCTTACTGTCAAAATGTTTACTAACAATTAAGAATTTCTGCCGAAATCAACACTGTAAAACAAGAAATGCTAGAAAAAAACTTTATTTTATATGTAGCATTTTATTGAACAATGAATCTAAAGGACCTTGTTTTGGATGCTGCCGTAGACTTTTGATCATACATAACGCATATGTATATACTATATTACTGTAGATTTACTTTTGTCTTACTAATTTTACAGCAGATCGCTACGCAGTTGCAGAAAACTCGCAGTTTAATAAATTGCGAGCCGTTGCCAAGTTCTGATGGATGTCTCCATGTGGCATGTGGCAGGTGCATGCGTTCTTCTCTCTCACTCTCGTTCTCCCTCCTCACTCTCTCTCTCTTGTTTGTCACTCATTCGGGTTTTCTCACAGCTGTTGATAGCAGCAACGGTAAATAAATACAGTGACTACATGTCTCGCACCTGTCCAAGTTGAATGCCCCAAAGCATTCAATCGGGCAAGCAAGAGAGTGAGTGCATTCGCTGCTAATCAACATCAACTCAAGCGCGTATTAATTTTTGTATCTCATCGGTCTTCTACGCAGCGCTATAAAACCTTTGTTTTCGAACAGTTGCTGCGCATTTCCATTAATGTGCTTGCCTCGCCTGTATCTCGCCTGCCATAAAGTGCAACACAATGAGTGCTACTACCTCCGCACTCCGCCGCAGATGACATGACGCTGCCTGTTGTTGTTGTGCGTGGAGTGCGTTGTTCACCTCAGCAAAACACCCCCACAAGTTTCAACAGCAACGCAGTCACACACATCTATGTGTTTAGTATTTGTGTATATGTTTGTATTTACATATGTATACGCAGCCACGTTTGCTTGTTATGTTTAGCGTTAACTGCGCTGTTGCTCTCATTTGCTGTTAGCAGAGAGCAATCAAGTTTCTCACCACGGCTGTTGGTGACTAATTGATGTTATTGCTAAATTTTGAATTTGCTCAATAATACAATGTTTTGCTTTGCTTTGTTTGTGCTATTCAAAAATTGACGAAATCAAGTGCTGCTCCTCTCCTATTCTCTCACTCTCTCTCTCATTCTGACGTTTATCATTTGCCCTCTGTTGTAGTATTCACAATACATACGTACAAAGAAATACATATGAAACAGGAAATTATTTTCGTTTTCTACAGAAAAGCTGCTGTCTGCTGCTGATAGCCTAACATACACATGTACATACATATGTATGTACGTATATGTATGCACATGTGCATCATGCAATGTTCAATACATATGTATGTCCAATGTGCAAGCACTTTGGTTAATTTATACCCTAGACCAATTCAATTAGATAACGAGGGTTTGATCAGTACGAAGTTTTTGAAGAAATCGTATCTTCATGGTAATTTCGGTACGCATTTGCATAATTTAAACATTTAATTTAATTTTAAGAAATTTATTGATTATGAAACATATTGCAGGTGCAGGATATCTAACAGTCGAGTTCCCTTTTACTCTAGAAAATTTTTCAAGACTGCGTAGATATTTAGGTACATACATACATGTGTGTATATACATATGTGTGTATGTAAATTGCAATCAAAGAAATGATCATATCCACAATCATAATACTAATTTATTGAAATATGTACATATCAATTTATACGTACACACAAACATTTATGTAGATCAACAAATATAAATATACATACATGTATATATAAATGTGAAACATACATTGCATTCATATTCATAAAAGTACATCGCATATGCAAGCATTCACATACATGTATGTGTTTAAGTATGTTTACATAATTTATAACAGCATTTCATGAACAACAAATTAAACGCCAGTCTTCGTTACTTAGTATGTACATACATAAATTTACATTCATACATACAAATGTACATAGCAAACGCGAAAATAACAAATTGTAGGCAAACAGAAATGTTAACCTGTCTGCGGAAATTCACCACACCATCGCGACTTGTATAATTTTGCAATATGCGTGCTGGCAGCGATGATAAAAAACATCAACTAACAACAGTCACATATTTTATGTTATTATTTCCTGTATTTCTTCAATATGCAAGTCTACATAAGTTTTTTTTTGTAAAAGTGCGCAGTTAGCATTGATGACGCAGCAACAAAAAACACAATGGCAATGCCAACAACATGACAATAACAGCGACTTCTCTGAACAGCTCTCTCCCTCTGTCTCTCTCTCGAACATTTTACGTGTGTGGCTACAATATGGCGTCTTCGAAATTGTGTCGTCGTTTAACTTAAAACCATAATATTCCGAATATGATTAAATATATAAGTTTGTTAAGCGCAATGTGAATGTCTGGTACATTTTTTTTCAAATTTATAAATAAATATGTAGCAACAGTTCAACTATTGAACGATGAAGGTCTGCGCTTTAAGAACCTCTCCCTTTATGCGCGCTGCATTGGTCTATGCAAGTACATAGTGTACATACGCATACACACACATTCGCATGTATCTGTACATGTCGAAATATGTAAAATACCCTGTAATTATGTTAGCTTATGTTGGGTCTCAAATGGATTTGTAATGTGTATATGTGTAAAATAAATAAATAATAAATACGAGCATTTATTTGTAGTCAGTTCGATTAAGACAGAGGAACAGCATAATGTATTTAAAAAGTGAAATTCGATAATGCATGTAATATAAACATGTAAGGGTATTCATTATTTGCCAGCCAGCGTGTCGACTCGCAATAGGAGGTCTAATTTCTATAGTCGAGTTGTGTGATTAACATGATTTTGCCTTAACATAAATGTAAATTCTTAACAGGTATTTTGTAGTGATCTAAGTTTTAAATCATTTTTTAAAGGTCTCAATAAGAAAATGTGCTTAGCAATAAATTTATATCATATTTTAGTTTAAAGTTTAAATTCCAAACTTCATTTAGAGTAGAGAGTATTTATAGCAATTGTGTATTCAACATATAGACATATGTATGTAAACTTCATATTTATAGATTTGCCTAAATTACGACAGCGTTTTTAAAAATTACAATGTATGTACAATTACTTATATATATATATATATATATAAATTATAAATATATATATTTAATTATATAAATATATGTATATATATAGCTTATATATATAAATATATATATTTAATTATATAAATATATGTATATATATAGCTTAACATTACTGTGGGACAACCGCTCATTTAGAGAAGGCTCCGTTCACAGTTCTCGATTCTATTGGTATAAAGTTCAACACAATGTAATGTGTAATTAAGAAGTTATTCTTTTATACTGTTTGCGTATGTGTTATGCTGTGCATTTTTGCAAT